TTTTCCTCTCCACCGTTTGCTCAGGATGGGAGACTGTGATGAAGTGATTCAACACAATCTGCTGGTTTCTTCTTTAGATTATTCTTCTTTATGTACAGTGCCCTGAGACAACGTATGTTGTGACTTGGCGCTATATAAATAAACTGAACTTGACTTTGAAGATAGTAATAAAAATTCCCCTAAAACTTTTCTGTCTCATTATTCTGCTATTAGCAAATACAAAAAAATTGTCAATCAATTGACCTAAAAAAAGTTTATTCTGATTTCACATCAGACAGTGTGGAAAAGTTACTTTTTATATGGTAAACTTCTGGTTTCAACTGTATGTCTGAATAATTCCTGGAACCCAGTTTTCACTGCCAGTTGACAGATTTAATCTTTGGTTTTTAACTTCCTCATCACTAAGGCAGGTAGGTACAGCATCTTTAAAAACACAAATACTGAGCTGAAAATTTGTTGTGGCAGTAGATGAGAATCATTCACAACACAACACATTGTGTGAGATCTTTGCCTAAAGTTTGACATGAACTATTGCAGTAAACCCCTTTTGTCTGTTAGCACAATGTTTTTATACATTTATAGAAAATCTTGTGTTTTTGAGTGTACAGTACATAAAACTGATTGACTTTTGGATTCAACTTAAAGATGGCCACCTCAGCTTACTGTCAGGCCAACATTGTAAATAAGAAAATGTTCTTAACGTTTTGCCTGTTGAAATAAAGGTTAAATTAAAAAAAAATACTGACATTACTTTTCAACTGTTAGCAAAATATCTCACAAATGACTGGACTTTTTGGAATGAAACATTTTAGAAAATTACTGGGTGTTCATTTACACCTAACTTTTGCAGACAACCAAAATCAAGATGGCTGCAACAGTTAAAGTGACTTTATTCAACATAAAAATGTCTATAATTCAGTAAATTTTACAGAGTCATTCACTCTACATGCTTCTAACAGACATCATGAGAGTTCATAACACTGTGTAAGATCACATACTGTATAACTTTTTGTTTTAAATTCAGACCAAAACAGCTAGAACTCCATCCTTTTTCAGCATAAAATGGTCTTAGTTTAAAACTCTGGCATAAAAAGCAGTGAGCGATATGCTTCCCTGCAAGGAATACTGTGGTTTTTTAATTATACTTTAGAATTGATAGAAACATTAGAAGTAGATGTTTCCTTTTTTGTAAATACTTTTCTATTCATTTATTTAAATAATTGTTTTATAATATCCTATATTATGTTGTGAATCTTTTTTTATTAACAATACTGTATATTATTCATTGAAGATGTTTGTGAGGGAGGATACTTAAATTAAATTCTGACAACATGCTGTACTCAGCTGTACGTATCTTTACATGATATAAATGGTGAGTAAAATGTATAAAGATCACTTTTGGTCAGAGTTGTAAAGTAACTAAGTACAAATACTTTGCTACTGTACTTAAGTAGAATTTTTGGGTATCTGTACTTGAGTAAATATTTTTCAGCCTACTTTTTATTTCTACTTCTTACATTTTCACACATTTATCTGTACTTTCTACTCCTTACATTTTTTTTAAAAAGGCACGAAGTAGAAAGTTGTTACTTTTATTTCATTTTTGCTTGTTTTCATTTCAGCTTATAGTAAAAAAAATTAATACTATCCATATAAATTGTGCCTCCTAGATAGAGTGAATTTAACTGCGGTTGAATAAGAAGTATATAAAATTCAAAAAATATATAAAATTCTTATAGCGTATTAGTTTGTAAACAAACAAATCATCTCACACTCCAGCAGGACAGAATCATTAAAATAAAAGGACTGTACTTAAGAAGTATTTGTATTTCATGAATTATATTATTATATTTGGCCGCAGCCCTCAGATAGATTTTCATTTTGGAGAAAAGCTTTGTGCAGCCTTGATATATGTATATAAACTGAAACAGCTGGACTAGTGCATCCTAAATTTAACATGTCCTGATGCATCTCAGTAATCCAGGTGCTGTTAAGTGCCAGGAGGACTGCGACCAGTTATACATCGGGGAAACAAAGCAGCCACTGTTCAAAAGAATGTCCCAACACAGACGAGCTACATCTCTGCAGTTTTCACTCATTTACAGGCCAGCGGTCACTCTTTCAGAGATGAGGATGTTCTCATTCTTGATAGAGAGG